AATGGCATGATGAATATCACAACAATATTGCTGGCTACTAAACCCATCAAATGGGCAACAGCCAGCTAGATGAATGGATTGAAACTGATTCCAGACGCTGACAATGGATTTGTCTTTATCCAGAATTATACCCATACCCACTATACCCAAGCTTGTGTTACACCACTCTTTGCTATGCTAATAATCAACAATACTGATGGCATAAATATCACTCATACAGAGATCCGTTGTGCAGTCAATACATCCTGCTGGCTCATAAATTATCTAACCCCTGCTATAAAAGCTAAACATATATTTATCCTCAGAGTGCCCCCAGAAATCTGGTTTCCAGAGAACTTGTCCAAAGAGTAGAGAAGTCCATGGGACATGGAGATAAAGAATCTTTTTAATGAGATCCTGCACCAAACCAGGTGTGCACTTAGCCTCATCATCACTGGGATTATTGCCCTGGTAGCCACCATCGCTGCCACAGTCATTGCTGCTGCTTCGCTCAGAGTATCCAGACTGCTCAGACTGTAAACAACTTGTCTACTGCCATGGCAGAAGACTTTGCCATTCAAAATGACTTAAATAAAATGTCCCGAACCACTATTTTAGTCATTCAGCAAGAACTAGACCTCTACCAGGAACAATTAGATATTCTGTTTATGTTGCAAAGGTTCACTTGTGACCCTGAATTTTGTAGTATTTGTGTAACCCAATATGCTATATCTGAAAATGTAATCTTACACTTCTCCAATTTTTCTCAGATTATTAAGGGTACTTGGGATGCAAACTATGTTATGACTATGCGTAACCTTACTAAGGCAATTGTCAAGATCAATGAGACTAAGGTATCTATCTTGACAACCTCTTCCTTCTTCCAAAGACTAACTGAACATTGGAAAAACCTGATAGCCAAATTAACATCCTTATAAGGCTATTGCCTTGGTCCTACTGTTTATAATAGTGAGAATTTTTTCTTGTGTTGTGAGATGCTTATGTAATCATGTGAAGACCACCAAACAAAAAACATCAATGCTGGCTGAAGTCTTTGCAGCACAGTTATAGTGGGGAGATGTGGGGACAAGTGCATGGAGTACTGCATACATGGCAAACGTTAAGGGTGTTTGAGTGGCAGGCCACTCCCCTCATGCTAGGTGTATGATCGGTAGATCACTTACCTCATAGGCAAAGCCCTGGGCATGAGGCATGTGTTGCAGTTCCTGTGCTTGCTTCATGGCCCACTCCTCGATTTGTTGCTCTACAGATAGTTGGCAAGAAATTGTATTAGTGGATGCCTATAATCTGCTCAGCTACCCAAGTATATATACATAGTAAATGTGCAATAAAATAAGACCTGCTTCCAGATTGGGCTCCCAAGGTCTTGAATAGCAACTTAGGAGCCACACTGTCCTCTACTCTGTTCCCTGGACCTTCTTATTGGACAAGAAAGAGTCCACTCAGGGCAGGTGATCATCTCTCTAATTAGTTAGCATTAGAGTAAATAGTCTACAAATACAATACCCAAACCCCTCTAACTATGAATGGGAAATTATTGGTTATATTTTTAAGAATAGGGACAAAGATATTAAGGCTTAAGAATTGTAACCATTATCCCATGTGGAATGAGAAATTATTCGTACATTTTAAGTGAAAAGAGCATGCTTATAAATTGTTCGTAAAACAACGCAGTCTGTTTTCAGTGTGGAAAACAGAATTGGATAGTTCTCTCATCATATGTAGACAGTGTGGTTGGAAACATATTTAATAAGTCCAGGCAAGAGATGAACAACTATTGGATTGGTAGGTTAGTTGAAGAGACATAAAAATGGCTGGATTTGGGCTGGGGATGTGGCTCAAGCTGTAGCGCGCTCGCCTGGCATGCGTGCGGCCCGGGGTTCGATCCTCAGCACCACATACAAAAAAACAAAGATTGCCACATCAGTGATCATAGCAGCACAATTCACAATAGCAAGACTGTGGAACCAACCTAGATGCCCTTCAATAGATGAATGGATAAAAAAAATGTGGCATTTATACACAATGGAGTATTACACAGCACTAAAAAATGACAAAATCATGGAATTTGCAGGGAAATGGATGGCATTAGAGCAGATCATGCTAAGTGAAGCTAGCCAATCCCTAAAAAACAAATGCCAAATGTCTTCTTTGATATAAGGAGAGAAACTAAGAACAGAGCAGGGAGGAAGAGCATGAGGAAAAGATTAACATTAAACAGAGACGAGTGGTGGGAGGGAAAGGGAGAGAGAAGGGAAATTGCATGGAAATGGAAGGAGACCCTCATTGTTACACAAAATTACATATAAGAGGTTGTGAGGGGAAAGGGGAAAAAAAACAAGGGAGAGAAATGAATTGTAGTAGATGGGGTAGTGAGAGAAGATGGGAGGGGAGGGGAGGGGGGATAGTAGAGGATAGGAAAGGTAGCAGAATACAACAGTCACTAATATGGCATTATGTAAAAATGTGGATGTGTAACCGATGTGATTCTGCAATTTGTATTTGGGGTAAAAATGGGAGTTCATAACCCACTTGAATCTAAGGTATGAAAGATGATATGTCATGAGCTTTGTAATATGATATGTCAAGAAATTTGTAATGTTTTGAACAACCCACAATAAAAAATTAAAAAAAAACAAAAAAGAGCAAGTTTTCTCTTACTAGGAAAAAAGGAGCATAAAATAGATAAAATACTGATTACTATAGTACTTTCATTACGTTTCAATATGTAGGCAGTATTTTTATTTACTAGCATATCAAGAGGCTATAAAGGGATTAATGGACTTTTGAACAAATATTCAAAAGTTTGCCAAGTAATATATTTTAAATTATTTTTTCTTCATTAATTAATGCATATATTAATTTTTTAAAAAATTATTGAGCAATTTCTAGGTACCAGGCTACATGCTAGACATTTTTGAGCCTGTTTACAAGGCTACATGGATCTATGGCTGAAACCATTATAACAAGAAAGAAATGTAGTCAAACAGAGAGGCAATTAAGTAGTATGATGAATATTATGAAAAGAAAGGTTAGTGTGTCATGGAGCAGAGTGGAGGCCCACATGTGGCTGAGAAGATTTGGTATAATTTGGATTTGGAATATATTCTAAAGGTTTATAATAGTATCATCTATTAGGAGGTGGTATATCCTAAAAAAATGCTCTACAAAATAAAATTTTGTCTTAATTAAAAAAAAAAAAAAACCAAAAAAACAAAGATGTTGTGTCTGCCGATAACTAAAAAATAAATATTAAAATTCTCTCTCCCTCTCTCACTCTCTCTTTAAAAAAATGGCTGGATTTAAGACATCTTTAGCAGATAGAACTTACAGGACTTGGTTGAAACAATGAAGTGGACGTGAAGTTAATATTAGGAAGTTTCCATAGTTTATTTCTTGCATAAAGAATTGATGGGTTTCCTATTCCCTGAGATAGGAAATGCTGAAAGAATATCAGGTAAAAAAAGGTCCTAATCTCAGATTTAAAAATGTTAATTCTAAGGAACATTTGTGATTTCTAAATGGAAATTGGTTTATCAGGCACTTTAGTTTGTGATAACTTTAAGAGAAATAAAAGAAGTGAAAAAAGCTCACAATAAACTATGTTGAGTGATTATAAGAAAGCCCTTACGGTGAACCCTCAGGACATAATTTGTAATTTTAATTGTTATAGCTAGCTGTGTGGATGATCTGCTGATTAGCTCACAATGCCCAGTAGAACAACTTTAACTTCATCCTACTGGGAATCTCTTATAAACATTCAGGGAATTTCAAAAATTTTTAAAGAATGAGTTTAAAATAGAAGAAAGAAATGCTATGTCCCTTCAGTTTGGAGTTTTTGCTGAATATTGCTGAAAAAATAATACTGCTTCTGTGTATACCTTTGTTACTTTCAGAAAATGAGCACATTTCCAGTTTTCCAGTGTTTTACAGGAATTGGGTGAGAACATAGATTTTCACAATTTTCTTCATTATAATTTTGCAATGTGTCTGTCGGAACACAAAATATCTAAGTAAAAAATTAAAATTGTGAACAAGATTTTTTTTTCAAAATCAGCAATCAAATCAGAATAGATTAAAGAAAGTAAATACCATTTGAACATTTTATGATGCAGTTAAATTTTTTACTGTGTGTAGTTTGCAAAATTGTTTAGGAGTTTTGAAATAAACTGATAGAAAAATGAAAAATGGAAAATTAATAGTAATCAGAAAAATCCAACATATTCAGAGTTTATTTTATAATGTGAAAAGTTTCTTAATGAGATATAGGTTGTGTTGATTGAATCTCACTTATTTGTATCCTTGTAGAATGAAAATTCTGGCTTAAGGTTTGTACAGCTGAGTGCAATAAAAATGCCATAATTTCATGGAATCATAAGAATATTGACTAAAGTCATTCCTTGTGTCTCCTTGTATATAACATGACTCTTGAGAAAAAAATCTATAAAGCTTACTGGTTCTTGGTTGAATGATACATTGTAGGAACTAAAAGCAGGAATATTAATAATTTGGTAATTGGACTTTATGAAGAAAATTGGAGCAGTATATTCAGGGCAAAATCTTTTATGCTTCTTAATTTTTCAACAATTTATTTTGTTGTGTATATTAGGATTCTCTGTGGGTATTTAATGTTAGAATTCTAAAACATTAGTTCCTCATTTATTTTCAGTGAAAAAAAATAGCGTGTCACAATTGTTTCTAATGCTCATCTTTAATTTTTTAGAGAAGCATCCTAAATTTTTATTTTACATTTAGATAAATAGTATTTTTAATGTTTTCACACATTAAAATATCTCTTGTTCTCTAAGTATTAAATTATCAGTTTGATAATTCATTGTAGAGAAATGAAAATAGATATAAAATAGACAAAAGTAAAATTTTAAAACTACTAATCAGATGAGAAATATCTCTTAGGAACATATAATCACAAAAACAATCACTGTTGTTATGATTAATTTTTGACTGTTCTGTTACTTGATCTTACATTTTAGTGATTGTCCAGATCAAATATGGAAGAAGAAAATATGACTCTGGCGACTGAGTTTGTTCTCATGGGACTTACAGACCATCCAGGGTTGCAGGTGCCCCTGTTCCTGATGTTTCTTGTGATCTACCTCATCACCATGGTGGGCAACCTTGGCCTGATTGCTCTCATCTGGAAGGACCCCCACCTTCACACCCCCATGTACTTATTTCTCAGCAGTTTAGCCTTGGCTGATGCATGCACTTCATCTTCTGTGACCCCCAAGATGCTTATCAACTTTTTATCTAAGAATCATAAGATATCCCTAGCTGAGTGCTTAACACAGTTTTATTGTTTTGGCTCCAGTGCTACCACGGAATGTTTCCTTCTGTCAGTGATGGCCTATGACCGCTACGTAGCCATATGCAATCCCTTGCTGTATCCAGTGGTGATGTCCAACAGCCTCTGTACTCAGTTTATAGGTGCTTCATATTTCGTTGGTTTTCTGCATTCAGCAATTCATGTGGGTTTGTTAGTTAGATTAACTTTCTGCAAGTCCAATATCATACATTATTTCTATTGTGAAATTTTACAACTATTCAAAATATCTTGTACTGATCCTATAGTTAATATACGTCTGGTTTTAATCTTTTCAGCCATTATACAAATCTTTACTTTTATGACTATTATCATCTCATACTTCTATGTCATCTTTGCCATCCTGAGAAAGAAGAATGAAAGGGGCAGAAGCAAAGCCTTCTCCACCTGTGGGGCCCATCTGCTCTCTGTCTCTTTGTTCTATGGCACTCTCTTCTTGATGTATGTGCACCATGGGTCTGGACCAACTGAGGACAAGGAAAAAATGTATTCTTTATTTTACACAATAATAATTCCCCTGCTAAATCCTTTTATTTATAGCCTGAGGAACAAAGAGGTTATAGGTACCTTAAGAAAAATAATGAAGAAATAAATGTTTGTCACAGAGATTTCAGACTATTTCTTTCCAGTCTTAAGGGAAACGCCCCAGTGTTATGAATTAACCACTACTCTGCCATTTTAACACACAGTCCATAAACTCTGCATGAACGAAACCAACTTTACATTATGTTTCCTTGGATATGGCCCCAGTGCTAGTTTGGTAATATTGCCCATAAGAAACTTATTTGAAAACATTGTGCTCAATTTTATCTGAGCTTTTAGCTTTGGCCAATTAGTTAGATTACCTAGGAACTTCCATATTTACAAGTAATAATTGTCAATTTATAGAGAAACAGTGAGAAATGTTTATTGAGAAATAGTTTTAACTGATGTTGGCATATATATTTACTTACATATTTAAATGAGCATAGCCCACTCTTCTGGATCTGCAAATTAATAAGTCTTTGCGTTTCTCTGCCATGCACAGAAACTCTAGCTGAGCGATAAAAATGGAATTCTCTTTTTGTTAGCATACATTCTTAGGAAGAAATGTATTGCTTAATTATAAAAATTAGGAAAAGTTAGATAATAAAAAAATATTGGTGGATCTTCAGAAGAAAATTGGAAGCTGGAATGAATCAAGTATGGAACATCAAAATGATTCATAGCTCATCTATACAATTGAATGTATTTTATCAAGAATATCACATGTGACATTATATTTATTAATGTATAAATATTAAAATATTTTTGTGTAATAAAGGTGATTTCAGAGATCAGCCTTATGATTGCATTATTATTCCTATGATTTGAGGTAGGAATTGACTGGGCAGAAGGCAAGGAGACTAGCTAAGAAATAAGAAACAGATTTACTATTAAATATGGGAATAAAAAATGTGACAATGATTTCTATGTGTGTGTGTATGTGTGTGTGTTTGTGTGTGTGTAGAGAGAGAGAATGTAAGAGAAAGGGGTGGGGGATTTTTTTCTTTATTAAAATGATCATATTCCTGAATAGGAAGTAAATTAATGAGTGAGATTTCATTGGCACAATATTATATTTTACTATTATTATATAGAAATAGTTATCTCAGTTTTTTAGTAAAACAGTCATATTTCTTGAGCAATGTGTTTTCTTCAGCATATTTACTTTGAAAAAATAATAATACCAAATGAAAATTTAGGTTAATTTTTTTGAGGAATGAATGTATGCTTCTGTTTGAGCATTTGTAAAACACTTTAGCTTTTAATAAGTCAACAGTTCCAAGAAAAATACTATGAGATTTATCTAAAGAATAGACATACAATAAATATTTTCTATCATACATCTATCAAAAATGTTTCTTAGAAAAACTCAAATTGTCTACATTGTCTTCAGATTGGTTCCAGTAGGTCTTCAATAATAAAACAAAATAAAAATGTCTTTAAAAATAATCCATATGATTTAATTTGTTGTCTTTAAAATTTGATCTGTATTTGCAGGAAAGTTTCAGCAATATCATATAGTATACATGATTCATTTTGCAAAAGGTAACTAAATCATAATTTTCTTAGCATATTCATTATTCTATTTAATATATTATTTTTATAATTTATTGTTAGTATTTTAAAGGTAATTCTTAAATACTTCCAGTGATTTATGTCAAAAGCTAAATTTTCTTCATTTACATGGTACACAATTTTTTAGTCAGAGTACATGAAACAAAATATTTTTTCAATATTTCTTTAAATTTTAAATTACACATGTAATATGTAATTTATCAGGATTATTTTAAACAAAATCTCAGCTATTATAAAATATTATCATGTATGGAAACTTTTATCAATTTAACTGTAATTTTTTCCTCTACATTGAAATTCCCCCTGAGGAACTGACATTTAGACAACCTTGAAATGGAATTCTCTTTTTGTTAGCATACATTCTTAGGAAGAAATGTATTGCTTAGTTATAAAAATTAAGAAAAGTTGGATAATAAAAAATATTGGTGGATCTTCGGAAGAAAATTGGAAGCTGGAATGAATCAAGTATGGAACATCAAAATGATAAATAAATAAATCTGACTTAGCTAAGATGAAGAAAATGCATAAAGTAGGATATGACTCTTATTTCCTGGGAACCTGGCAGGTATTATATTATCAATTAAGTGATTGATATCAATGCATAGTAGTCATTTAGTTTGCTGGAATTGGTCTGAACTGATTGCTGATCTGAAATCATCATAGGTATATTGTTACACTTATCAAGATTTTATATGATATAATGTACTGAATATAGATGCACTGAAAGTGGAGGTAAGTCATATATCCCTCTAGATGCAAGGTGATAAACAAATTACTTATGTTAACTCATACTGAAAGACCCTCGACCTTCATGTCTCTGTGCTAATTTGATTTGTACTGATATCAGATTGCATTTAGTGATGGGGCATAGGAAGGTATATTTGGGTATCCAAGCCTTACAGTGCTGCTACTTTTCCTATGTGGTGTTCTTGCTCAAAGCTACATATACTTGGGTAATGTACTTGGCTAAATAGACATTGGGTGAGTCTATCACTTCTTGTGAGTCTGGTTGTCACAGTACACTTTAAATCTATGACTATGGTCTTATGAAATAACCAATGTGCTAAAGGATAAGAAAAGAGAATCTCTAAGATTGATACTGGTTTGACTTTGTTTCAATTGAGACTTTTTTTTAGGCAAATTATGGGGGGCAAATATTATGAATGAAATTTAGATAATATAGCTTCAAACCTGTAGGATTAAGCAAAGTAAATTAATAAAGGCAAATAGGAAAAATGGCTAAAAACATTGTTTAATTCTTATAATAGCATTATCAGAATAGGAACCCTATTAGGAAAATCCAAATAAATAAATCTGACTTAGCTAAGATGAAGAAAATGCATAAAGTAGGATATGACTCATGAGATATTTCCTGGGAACCTGACAGGTATTATATTTATCAATTAAGTGAAAGGCAACATATTTGCTGTCCAATGGTGGGAGAACAGGGCCCAATGACCTAGAAAGTAGAGATTTCAGATAAATAATTAGGGCATCTTGCCATCAGAGGAACACTGGAAACTTGATGAGTTTTTGCTAACCTAGATACTGAGACTGCATGATCAATGGAGTAACATTGTAATAGGGAGTCAATTAAGTCTAATGGAGGGAATTGTATGGCCTGAAAACTATGAACTTTAGTATGTATTCCCATTCTAAATAATGACACGCAATGGTTAAAGTAGAAATTTAACAGGCTACACTAAAAAGAGTGCCTGCCTAATTGATTCATCTAAGTGTTGATGAATAATCCCTGCAGAGGTAGTAGAAATGTTCTAAATGAAGGTACTTTATATTTAATATATATAAAACATAGAATTATTCTTGATGGTAAATGACTAATATAAACAATAATGAATTTAATGGCAAGGTAAACTCATCATGCTTGGAGGCATTACATAGTCTTCCTTTTAGAAGAACAGAGCATTATATAGACAGCCATGACAAACTTGTTAATAATCTAATATCCCTGAGTCTCAATGATGGAATAAAAGATCTGTGCTATTAAAAAAAGAAAAAGTCCAGCTGTATGGTCTAGACATATGGAATTTCTTATGGCTAATAAAATTAGGAAGAAAGAGAAATAAATTGGTGAAGTTATATATAAAATATGGTGGTGACTTATTATTTAGAAAGTGGAAAAGTCCTGGCAGTTCATTCAATTGTACTTGCCTCCCTGTAAAGACTCTAATTTGTTGATTTATTTCTGTTTTATATATCCAAAGGTACTGGGAAAATAAAGTAGGTAAAAAAGGTATACAAGAGGCTTCTAGTTAAGGCAGCAGAATGAAAATTTCACAATCTGCCTGCAGTACTTCAGCAGGGAAATTCAAAGTATGACTGGTCAAACTTGAATTGCTTTGAGGTGATGAAAGTTTTCTGATGTTATAGAAACTGAAACACAGTACATGTTACTATGGCTTGGGTGTTGTTTGAGGATTCCCCAAGGGTCCACTGTGATTGGGAGGCTTGATAATCAGAGTTATAGTACTGCGAAATGTTGTAATATATGTAATGCTGTAATGATGTTTAAAGTAGTAGATGATAATTTTAGTGCCAGGATAATGGCAGTTAATTTAGTTTGTTGTGGAGAGATTTGAGGCAGTCTGTTTATCATTAATAAAAACAAGTATTTTTTTGCTTATATTTATTTTTATATATTGTTAATTGATTTATAAGAGAAATGGTAGAAATCAAGGAAAAGGGAAAATGTGTAACATAACAAAGAGAATTGTCCATCAAGAGGCATGTGAAAAGCAATTGGTGCTAAAAAAATTTGTTAATGTGTTTGATAGTAGGAGAAAAACTCTAAGTATGGGAGAAGTAAAGTTGTTGTTTTTTTTTTTAATAAGTAAGGCATAAAACATGAATGTTTGTGTCTGTTAAAGAAAAAATTTTAGTATGACCATTAATAATTAATTCAGTGTACATATCAGCAAAAGGCAAAATATTATGGCCTGAAAGTGAGAAGAATATAAGTATTTTAATACATATAACTTTGATTATAAATAATAATTATTGTTGTAAAAGTATAAGTTTTTTTTTAACAAAAACTACTAATGGTAATGGCATATTAGATATTGAAAGTTGATTTATAATTATTGCTGACAACTTTTCTTAATTTTTTTGTAATGTCTGTTTTAAGGAGGGAGCTAAATAAACAATGGAGGCAGGGACCTATCAGTTTTTTAACAATGGAAAAAAAAGGAGAAAGCAGTTAGACATCAGCTGTAATTTTTAATTTATTTATTTAAGAAGTCATGTTTATGAAGAGCAATCTTATTTATGTTAATGTTAATTAATTTATTTTAATTGTAAAAAATAAAAATATTAGAAAAATGTAAATGATAGCATTAATTTTTTGTGTTTAAAAATTTTAGAAGCAATGGATATCATATTACATTTTAGACATTTTTTTCTTTTCTTTTTTTTTAGAACTTAAGACTTTGGCCACCTAGAAAAATTTGTGGAAAAAAAATATGAGTTAGAATT